TCTCTCTCTCTCTCTCTCTGTGTGTGTGTGTGTGTGTGTGTGTGTGTTCAGTGGGATGTGTTGCGTCACTTACCAGCGAGCGCATGGGACTTCCAAACGGGTCGTGCCAGCGGGCGGGATTCCCAAAACGGCCGATTCGCAATTGTGCGCCCTCCTGCCCGCCACCCGACCTCAAACAGCTCTGTGAGCTGTGACTGTGTCTGGACCTGTAGGCCCTGTCCGGTAGGCCGAAAAGAGGCCGGAAAATGGCCTCTCTATTTTTTTTGGGGGGGGCCAGGACCCGACAAATGTCCTGGGCCACCCCCTTTTTTTTTTTCGAATTTTTGTTTGAGGGAGGGATGGGGGAGGGGTACCAGACATTATGAACCGGACACCAGACCCCTGCAAATTGTTCTAGACTGTCTGGATGCCGGTCGAGATGTCCAACCGGTTACCACACTGATCACCATTGATTAAATGATGATTATGCTGCTGCTGCCGCTGCTGCTGCTGCTGCTGTTGATGATGATGATGATGATGATGATGATGATGATGGTTCCTCCATCGTGAGGTTCTGTTCCAGTTGTGGTTGAATGATGAAGATGATGATGATGATGATGATGGTGTTGATGCTGCTGTTGCTGCTTGTGGCATTCTGAGCCACACGGGCCCAGTTAGGGCCCGGTTCCAGATAGGCAGGGTAGGCCTAAGGGGACGACGGTTCAGATGAGGCCCAGGTAGGCCAGGACCACGGCGGTTCAGGCAGGCCAGGGGTAGAGGCCCAGGCCAACGGCCACAAGGCCGGTACCGGTCCAGCATAGGACCTACCGGCGGTGCAGTTTCAGAGGCTGCTGCGTTTTGGCGCAAAGTCCAGTTTGAATCTGGAGCGTTGATCAGATCAACGGTCCAGGCCGGTAGGTACCAGCAGGTAGGAGGCCGGCCCAGCACTACAAAAGGCTGGGTACCATCCTCAGTAGGGAGGTTAGTAAGATTGGAGTTAGTCTTCAGGATTAGCGCAGCATTGCAGCGTTAGTGAGATTAGCGCAGCGCAGCAGCGTTAGCACGAGCAGCGAGGCGAGATCAAGATAGCGGCAAGGAGGAACCAGCGCAGCAGGGACAGCGCCAGCCACCGGCCCAGTCCGCGGCCCAGCGCCCGCCACCTGCAGCGCCATAGCTACTGGGACAGGTACCAGTGAGGAAGGCCTCGCCTTCTCTCCCTCT